TCGACCATGCGTTCAGCGTCATGGAATCGCTGCGCGTAGCGTACGAAGTGAAACGCCATTACGACCGCGACCTTGTAAGCAGGTACAAGCCTCGTTTGATCTCTTCAAACTTGTTGTTCTACAAACGTGCTTGCCTGATGCTGTGTACGACACAGGACACCACCCCGTTCGACTTACACACGACAGACTTCGAGACAGCCTACGCATCCTGCATATTGGCAGCAGCTAATGCGCCAACGTTCATTGACATCTTTGGCTGCGATGCTGGAGACACTATGACTGTCATAAGCAGCTGTTACGTGCATTAGGGTGTACCTTGTGCATATTGAGAAGCCTAGGACAACTATTCGATTTGTGATATCACTGATGATTCTGCAATTACTGTCGTCGGTTGTGGTCACTCGATAGTTTAGAGAGCTGCTCTGCATTTTTTGTACATGCGTTCTACTTCTATGCGCAGAATACCAATCGAACTCATCCTGTTTGAACAACCTATATTCTATATACTAATCTTAGTCATCTCGTTAAAATTTGTGATCATTTGATTGGTAAACTTCATTCCATACATCACGCACTGCCGAGCTCAAGTTTTGTTCAGAACTGATATCTGTCCTCACAAAATTGCAAATTTTCCTACATAATGGGCCATCTACGCCTTGATATGTAGGTGGAGCATGCATACAGGCACACCTACAGTTGAAACGGACTTAATAAACAGATTGGGCTGCTTGAATTATTTCGTTAAATCGGGTATTTTGTAAAATCGAAAACGGAATTTTTCGGTCTTTCGAACTGTAAGATTGTCATCTGCCTACGCGCGTAGGCAGATTACATTCTACAATTACAATTGCAGCCCTATAATCTGCCTACGCGCTAGGCAGATTATAGGCCTGACCAAGTCGGCCCTATACAATGCCATAGTAGGAAGGGGGGTGCGTAGTCAGCCCTATACATTGACATAATAGAGAGGGGGTGGCTACGAGAAACCTTCCTCCCCCTCCCCTTTTTTACAACTGAAGAGCAAAAACTAACCCGATAGGGAGGGGGGTGGTACGTGCTACAGGGTCCAACACCTGTGGCGCATACCCGTGGGATGTGGCATGCGGTGAAACACGTGTTTGTAAGAAAGCGTGTGACGTCGTACGTGACGGGTTCTTTCACATTATTCGTGTAATTACCAGATGGTCATAGTCGTCAGACCCCATTACCATTCCATACTAATTTTGGTTTACCCTAAGTTAAGGAATTGAGCGCGAAAGCACAGAGACGCATGCGGATAGATAGATAGATAGATAGATAGATAGACAGATAGATAGATAGATAGATAGATAGATAGATAGATAGATAGATAGATAGATAGATAGATAGATAGATAGATAGATAGATAGATAGATAGATAGATAGATAGATAGATAGATAGATAGATAGATAGATAGATAGATAGATAGATCTGGAGCGCATTCACATCGGGGAATCGATGTGGGGTTCAATTGTTCATGTATTTAGACTGATCTATCAACGCGAAAAAACGGGACATTTATAAATACACACACACACACACACAGCGCTGTACTCACAACTGATTTACTATTTCAAATGCAGGGCCTTTTGTAGGCACGCATCGAAACAACAGAAAATAACATGATCAAAAAAAGGGCTTTGAAAACCACGTGACAACCACTTGCCAAAAAGACAAACAACCGAAAGCAATCACGCCACAAGGTACGCACCCAAAATTAAAGAAAAAAAAAGAAAGGAAAACAAAATATGTACTTGATTCCAAAACCAACCAGGCCGAACACGTTAGAGCCAGAGAAGCCCAGGCAGCCACAAACATGTAAAACAAACAAGATCTAGAACGTTAAAAAACTGAAAAGAATTATAAATACAGTGTAAAGCACAGATTAAAGCTATTAAAAAGGCCTGTGCTGTAGGTAATATATTTCCTTACTTGAGAGGGAAATGGAAGGCCTGCTTGCACATTTGTCCCCCAGCCTCTGAATTTCGGCTGCTTCTAAAATTCATCTCACAATTTGTTCGCCATGCCTGGCTAGGACAATAGTATCCTCAAAGTGCGGGGAGCAGCCGCAGTTTCGGCAATGTATCGCTAAATGACTGCTGGCGACCGTCGAGAGGCTCAGCAGATGCTCTCTGAGACGGGCATTGAGCACCTGCCCATCTGTCCATGGTACATAATCATGAACGAACTCGCCCAAGCAACAGTTCTAGCGATGTTCACGCATGTTTCTATGTGAATAGGTATGTGTGCGTAAACGTATGCAAAAATATATAGTTATGTATGTGTATGTTTGTGCGCGGCGTTTACATATGTGTGCGTGTTACATATGCAGATACAAAATCTTTGTACGGAGTATATTGAACACCATTATTCTCCATCCTGGCTACGCTTGTGTCAAGAGACTTGTGTGGCTGTGCGAGTGTCGACATCATAAATAGTTGCATATATATGTTACTGTTAATAAGACAAATTTAGCTGTTGTACTATTTATTTGGTGCTCACTCAAGCAAACGAGCATGACCATGTGTGCACATTACATTATTGCGCGTTTAGGCAGTGCTTATTTACGCTAGTTACACCACTTTCCCGAGTTATGGTAATCGCGCAAATGAAACGTCACCATTTCCCTACCACAAGTCCTAAATTTCCCCATGTCCACCGAAATGTGCCTTACTTGCACGTAATGCGAAATACACGCAGTATCTTTTATTGATTGCTTTCCATTTTACGGCGCGGGGTGCTGTCAGAGCGTCGTAGTTACAGTGTAATTGTAGAATCCGCCTTCCTCATTTTCATGTGCTGCCCTTTGCTGTTTTGGTAAAGCTTGTAGGTGCCGGTACAACCGGTATTCCCAGAAAAAAAAAAGCCTCCGAGATGAAGATATTTTTGGTGACCCTCCCGCTAGGGGAAAAGCGTAAGCACCGGGGCATGGCCAAATGTGCGCTTTTTCATGACATCCAGGCCTGTCACTGGTCCCCGGCTTTCTAGGGGAGAAGGTAAATAGTTCTAGGAATGTAACACCAGGGTTTTCGGCTACCATTATTGTCAAAAAGCATGCCCAGCAAACTAAATAAAAGCATTAAGATGACCTTGAAAAATACGACTATGTACAGGTATGAAGTAGAACTGGCGCTCCCTTCTTAGAGGGGGTCATCACCCTTGCACATGCCTATGCTTATGAAGCATGCGCAGCAGCTACAAACACAAGCGCTCAAAACGCTTCATGTACCCGGTTCTAAAACTGTCTCATGCAACTTTCACTCAAATGAGTTCATCGCGCTGGCCGAAAAAGCAAAGGAGATCCGGTGAGAAGAATCGATGAAGGCAGATCCACGCCGATAAATGATTCTTCATCTTTTGTTTAGATTTAATGTAGTAAATTCTAAAGAACATAATAACCTAGCTTGACGTTTTATATTCCAGGAAATCGAAAACAAAATAGTTGGGTCACAGTCATGTTTTCGGCACATTTCTCTTCATGAACACTGCTCTCATATTTCTGAAGGAAAAAAATATTCAAGTGCAGCTTTAATATGACTGCTCAAGAAGCCGCCAAACGTAGCCTAAATATTACGCAAGTTCTTAAAATTCTATATTTTTTGGAGAGAACGCAAATACCCAACTATAAACTTCAAGTTTCCCTGAGACTAACAAAATTTTTCTTGTCTATGGAATTTTTCTTGAGTGTGCAGCGCTGCTGCTGGTCTACGTATATGCACGGAGGCTGACAATCTCTAGAATTATTGTTACACAAGTATCGCAACAATTGGCACTTCACGTTTCGGGGTTTTATTGAGTAATTTATAACGGCAGCACTCGAGCATGTTGACGTTTCAATGCCCACGTGAAGCATATATTGGTGGTAGCAATCAAACACGCCGCTGCTCGTAATATATTTGGCGCAGTGTGTACTCAACAGGTGAGAAAAGTTTCAGCCCAGTGTACTTGGGGCCGCAAGTGAATGCTATTAATTAAATGGTCACCTGATGTAACTCTAATTGATGGTGCATACTTCTAACGAGTTTCAGAGGATGCGACGACAAAACCAGGGTGACCAGGCCACCCCGTCGCACGCGTCAGGGAAACGGCTTGCGTCACGCGGGCTGCCAGACCTTTTTTCTACCTGATTAAGTGTTGGACAGATCTCAAGACCAACTCCTTGGACTCTGTGAAGGAATAATGACATGGCATTCTGTCAGGTAGTGGATATACGCACTTCAAATATGCTCCACACGTTCAACTTCCTCATTATTTATGATGTTATAAAGAGTTCTCTCTGTCCCTTTGTATTTGCCACAGCATTTTGCCATTTAGCACAGTTACCTGCTACCCTGTGTTGCGGCTCCATATTGTAGCAAGTGAACCAATTGCCAGACAGCGTGATCGGAAATCTGTTTTCTGATCAACAGCGTGGCTGTTGATGGAATCATAACGAATGATATGCATTAAATCATGCCCGTGGCGAAAGCATGCTGTATTACTGCGCATATTATATGATAATGAAAAACTGAAACATAGCGTATTTCTAAACAAATCTTTTTACGTATTCGAATTTGTTTTCTTGCAGCACTTTTCCTGCAGAGTTTCTCACACAACTTGAAAAACTCTAGGACTTTTTCCACCAACGCCTGGAGCACGAGTTAACCCAAATGATTACGTAAATTGTTTTATTTTTGTTCATATATTTATAAAAAATAAACTTCAATTACATGTGTGATTTTCGCAAATGCGGGATCAGCACAAGTTCCGGTTTGTATGTTTTGGTTTTTATCAAGAAAAGGGGGCAAAATTAGTTAATGGGAGTTGCTAATAAGATTATAGTTATTCAGATCGAATAAAATTTTATACGTAATGCGTTATATTAGAGTGAACTGAAAAACGCAAAGAGATCGTACGTTTTGAAAGCGTAGTTAACCCTAGCTGCACACCAATCGCCAGAGCATCAGACAAGCTACAAGTGCTGCGGACGAGACCCCTAGAGGAAACCTTGTTGCCAGCGGCATCTGTAAGGCTTAACGTGTGCTCTTAGAAATAGCTACGGTGATAATTTTTCAATTGTTGAATATTGCACCTTAAAGATCCTAAATACGTCGCTTTGGTGAACATTTCGCTCAGGAAGTCAATCGGAAACTAGTGAGTATTTTATGGACTTCTCTTCTGATATTTCGCCTACATCGCGCACCTTTAAACAGCGCCTAGGTGCACTCGGAACTCGTTCGATAGCATTGCACTATGAGTTATACTGCTCACATCTGCTCAGAATTGGCATTTGTGAATCATTTTGGTTGGAATTCGGATGTTCGGCGCCGTCTGGTGTGGTGAAAATGCAAGGGCAGCAGGGTTGGCTGATGGCGCATAACCATCATATCCTTCGGTTGGTGCCGTGTTAGCCCTTGCGAGCCCACTACTCGGCCATACAGTTGACAATTTCACTCTGTTTTAGTGCGCTATACACTGAGCTGCACCCTTCTTTCCTCTTATTGTGTGTCGCGATGGGCACTGCCCGATGCATCACGAACGGAAAGTATTTCGGTGTTGATGGTTTAGACCATTAGTGAATCGCATAATAAACGGTGGTGATAGCCGCTGTATTCCCGACCGGAAGTCAGCACCTCAGCATGGCTAGCCAATGACTGTGCGTCTGGCGGTGTCGCCATCTTGCACGCTGGAAAAGTTTCTGTACCTGTACCGAGACGCTGTCCAAGCACAGAAACCGAGACGCTTCGAGCATGCTAGATGGCGCCGTGCACATCACGACGCCATGCAAACATTTCATTTGTGCATCCGCCATGAACACATGCACTGCTCATGATGACCTCATCTGACCCCTGGTCGCAAGTGTTAATGCAACAGCAAGACAGAGGTTCGCACAGATTGTGGTTTGTAATGATGAACATTGGCAGAACAAGTAATTATCACTGGAGGCATTGTCTCAACAATGGTACTTGCCTTTCTCAGCTCAGCCATGCCCTGTAGAAAATGAAGTCCCATAATTAAATTCTCGCTGCAGCAACATTACATGTACTACAGGTGCTTTTCATTTAACATATTGTTATCATTATTGATGTATCGTAGAAGAGTGTGGGTGTAGGCCAGTGGATGGATTAATCATTATTAACAAAAGTGACTGCGATGATGCACGGCACATAGAGACAACACAATGTAATACTGACAACTCAGTACTGTTTTGTTTTGCGTCTTTCAGTTGTTTACTTTTATGTTAGCTGCTTATGATGTGCAGAAACTGCCACATTGCACTACGAAACTAATCGAGCCGTACCTGTTGCCTGTAGTAATTTAGGTTTGAAATCTACTTGAGAAAGTCATATCAATAGTGCTTGCTTTATTATGCTTACTGCTGGAAAAAAAGGCTGTAAGATGTCTCACCCATAGATTCAAATGCTTATCATCAATTGATTTTAATCTTGCTTTTGACCATGTTTTGCATCCCGTAGTCTGCATTAGCTCTATTGTGTCGCTTGTATCGAAATATTTATTGCATAATTGGGAAATGTATGTATGATCCTTAATCAATAATGCTGTTCTCTCAATGTCTGCAGCAGTGAATTAAGTGAAGTGAGTATGAGATGTGTTTTCTTTAATTTTTAGTTTGTAGCTTGTCTGAATAACCAGGGTGATTCCAAGTGACCTCATGGACATTTCCGTTAACAATCTGTTTTAAGAGATAGTAGATGAAAGTAATAACATAAGCAAGCCAGCAGATTATTAGTCTTAGAAAAGTGTCATTATTTTTTTCTATTCATATATACATTAATATCCTGGAAAATTGCCATGAAAGCTCTCACGACTACTCCACATTTTAATGTCCATACCAAAATTAATAAGTCAACAAAACTAATATGACTTTCTGAATCGATCAGCACGTACGGTGTGTGGCATGTATGGCAATGCAATATGGGCAGCTCCACTTTAACCTTCCATTTTAATAACATTCTTGCTTATGTAGGCTGTGTTACTGCTTTGAGTGAATAATTTCTTGCTGTTGTTATTGCATTCCCTATCGGCACATCTGCAGTATATGTTTAGAGGGCTTGCACTTTCCTGTGATGACAACAAAGTCAATTGAATGCATCGTTAACCCCACACCTTTGTGGTGGGGCCTGGACAGTGTTCTGCCTTTTGCTGCTAGCACGTACGCTGTGTGCACGCTCACTGTAGGCGCATTAGCATTCCTGCTAACCTACTCTCGAAATACCCATAAAGGGCACAGGAGGAAAAATGGCACCGTAGCGCAAAATGTAGAGAATTGGACATTTTATTCAAAAGTCGCCGGTTCAGTTCTGCTGGCGGCAAGTTGTGTTTTTTTCCGCTTTGGTTTCTGTCACATTTGTGTCATAATTACTGCAAATAATGTTCCCTATGCTTTCGTTAAGGTTGTTTGAACAAAAAAAAAACCTTAAATTCACCTTTTTTCATTCCATCGTACCCTGAGCAACTTATCATAACATTTTCTGCAAACCAGTCAAGTTTTTCGGTTCAAAGGGTGTGAATGAGTTGTGTGGCTTGCTATTTCCCTGCAGGCATGGCTAATACCGTTTACAGGCATGGCGAAAATGAATGTTCACCACCGATCTGTTAATGGTAAGCATCATTACACCTAGCCTTCTTTCTAAAATACATCGCTCAAACATTGCTTTGGTCAAGATGGTCACATTGCGAGGAGAGGGCCAACATGCAAGACCACCCATGTACTTGTATTTAGGGTATACACTGATAGTAAAGAATCCAAGGTGGTCAAAAGTAATCTTAATTCCTCCACTATGACATGCTTCAGTTTATCATGACATTTACATCTAAGGCCACTTATTTTAAAGAATGTTTAGCACATATCTTCTGTGAAGGTTATTTAGTTGTGTTCAGAAGGTGTGCAATAAATCATACCTGGGCTTTTCGGGGTACCAGTTGGTTCACGAGCTTTTTGTCAGAACAGAGCCAGAAAGAGGGTCATGAACATAGAAATGTGGGTTAGCTCAAGTGGCAGAGTGACAACCCCCGAAAGCTGTTGGTCACGGGTTTCAACCCCGCACCAGGAAAAATTTTTTTCAACTAAAAAGGTTTTCTTTCTGAAAAATCCGCGTGGATTTTCTTGTTGCTTCGTGCTACGAACGGGTGGTTGTTTTCTTTCCCATCATTAACCTTTCCGCCACCTTGCGGCTTTCTGGAGAACTTATGTGTGTCCCAGTGATGGAAGTGCTGCTCCAAAAGAGAAATGCTGCTACAAACATACCCAGAAATGACACTGCAACCGACTAATGAGACTGTTTGACCGACTGATTAGTCCTAGAGAAACTCAGAATAGTCTGTGCACTATCATACCAGTGTGCAGCATTATAGGCCCTGATCTCATTTGTGCGACAAGGCTGATTGCTAATTTAGTTGCTTTTTTTTTCGTTTCTTTCCTCCTCTCAGCTAGACATGCAGGTTAGTGTGGTGAAATGTGAAAATGAGCAGGATGATTTTTTACTGGTTATCTACTGCTTATTTTGAAACAGTTATATTGGACTGTGGTTACTTCTAAAATAAGGCACTCAGATTTATACAGTTTCATTTGATTTCTGCCACAAATACTAGTATTTTAAATTGTAGGTCACACATATTTGGCAACCTGCCATTGCTTGCTTCATAAAATTTACATCGTTGTCTATTGAATATATTTCATAATAAATATTGATATTTATCAGATGCTTCGACTATGCCCCAAACTAGACTTAATTTTTAGCAAATTTATTGTCTGCTCGTAAAACACCAATAGCTGCTCTGAACTAGCTTTTTTTTTTTCTGTGCCGAGAACATTTATGGCTGCTCCGAAGCAGTCCTTTTTCTGCTCCAAAGTATGCCCCAAAAAGTTAAAGGCCACTTCCATCACTGATGTATCGTGTGTGGTCACTGTCCCATTTTTTTCACTGTGCTGCTTCAAGTTTCTCTGACTTTGAAGATGTAGATCAAGAAAAACTTGGGTGTAGTGGCTTAGTTCTGTCTTTTGTCTGGTTAGTTGTGGTGAGCTTAAACGTACGTGCTCTCGGCAGCCAGATAGCATCACGCTATAGAGATTTGTCCTCAGCACTTTTCAGCTGTGAACTAGTCGAGACGTCTGTGACTACCAGTGACAACTGGGTGTTGGCCTGTGACATCCCATGTGTGTCGTTAGTGCCTTACCGTCTTTATAGCATATTTCTTTCGTTTTGTTTTTAGTTCACTGTAAGCTCACTCGTGGTGTGTGCATTTTTTCACACACCTTAGAAAATAGTTGCTCTTCATTTTTAAATATGAAGACAGCACTTTTTGGTGCTCACACACTTGCAAATGGAATTTACACATGCTTTGAAAGAGTGCATCACTGCAAATGGCTTTTTTTTTTAATGGGCACATCTTGTGTAGAGTAAACTTACATGAGCTTAGTTTTATAAATATGTGCCTCGTTAATCTCAAGATAATTTCATTTTTGACAAAGAGTTTATTGACCTTGAGATAGCAAGTAAATATGTTTATACTACAGCACTTATAAGTAGTCATTATGAAGATCCTAGTTCTGATACTGATCACTCACTACTGCACACTACATCGATGAAATGTTTCTCGAGGAATTGGCTTATTAGAGAGTTGTAGTGTGAGATGCTAGCATTAACATTACTGCTCGTGTAAACTAATGGTAAGCAGAAAACACTGCGGGGCACAGGTGCAGTGGGAGGGAGTTAAATGCTAATCTAAGCACAAAGGGCACCATAAAAACACTCCTCCCTAGCAAAGAGTGTGCATGCAATCATGTTTCACTTTCCTTTGTTGTAAAAAACCTTGCACATCTCGTCTGACTTTGGCCATGTTTTTTAAAACAGGCCAATGAACGAAAAACTACACAGATGCAGTGGCACTATCTTGACTCAGCTTTAGAAAGGGGCATATTCTCGTTAAGCCTTTTGCGCTGCTAATCAAGAACACATCTCGAAAATGAAGCCATTAGTGTTATGTGGCTGGCAAAGCATTATTACTGAAAATTAAATAGAATGTGGCCATTGTTCAGTTCAATGACATGATAGACCTGAAGTACACGGCTCTCATTTCTAAAGATGCTGCCATCTTGCCATTACTGTAGAACTCCTTGCATGCACTGGCATTAAATATATGCTCTGAAAATAATGTATATATTTAAGAGCTGCAGCTTCATTTACATTCTGCACATGCGTAGTGTTTAACGAGCAGTTCAAATGCTAATGCTAAATTTTGATTGCTTTCCACTTCACTATAGTTCGCTGCTATGTTATTGTCCACGCATAATAGTTCATGCAGAGTGTGTGAAATAATTCGTTGGCAAGGTAAAGAAATGATCATGATTGCTGAGGGTTAAGAATGAAGAGGTAAATAGTATAAGCAGTCGAATCCACTTATATGCAATTTTTGGCAGCATATTGATTATAACAATTGGAAGCAGCTGCACAGTCAACTTTCATGTGTTTTCTGTGATGAAATAACATGGTTACAATGCTCCCACGCTGCATTATCGGTTATTACAATGAATTCTGGCTGCTAGGTGCCTATGCTAAAAAGTAATAAAACGTGAAACTTGTGAAAAAAAGAGAGAGAGAGACAAGGATTAACACTGGTGCACCTACAATCTCAGCGGCTGCTGCTGGTTCATACATTAATACCTGTTTTGTAGACTTTTCAATACTGCTAGCTGGCACACTCCTTCGATTTAAGGTTTGTTTCACTGCACAGGATTGTAGCATTGCCACAAAACTAAGTTTTGTAATTCACGACGATCGCAAACGGGTAGACTCGCGACTGTGCTGATTTGAGCCGGCGAGGTGACGTGACATTGCAGTGGTGATGGCTTCTGTTAATGCAGTTTAGGACACACAGTTTGAGCAAGAAAGTTAAAAAAATGAAAACCTTGGAAAGTTTCAGCATTTAAACACACAGGCATTCTTACAAATGGACTTTATGATATTTATGACAGTACCGTAAAAGGGTCCAAGTTTTCAAGCATGTCTCGAGGATCAAAGGCTGCGTCATCCTTAACCCCGTAGCTGTTTTGGATAAGTGTGGCTTGTCTGCTGCAGATGTGGTATCCCCATGAGTGTTTTGAACGAGACTCGTCTCTTTTCAAGCTAGTTCATGTGCCGCTTCACTCATGTCAGCACTTGTTTCACAATTTTATTTCAACTGTGATTTCACATTTCTTGCGACTTCGTTTTTAGAATTGGGTGTTGCTCATACATCATCACAGAAAAGAAGCCTTTTATCATTCTAAAGCTTTTCAGTACAGCACACTTTTTTAGCAGTGACTATGGTTACGGGGCCCGTCAACTCAGTACTATCGTTCGAGTGAGGGGGCCCGTCATTGTAGTGAAATCTTAACAGTGACGGGGCTCGTCATAATAGTTATGCAGCTATAGGTACGATCCCTTCATCATAAAGCAGTGACTACGGTGAAGGTGCCCGTCACCGTAGTGTATTGGTATTCGAGATTTCCTCGGTACTCTGATTTCACTACGTACGACGATCGACGCGTGTACAATGACGCTTCTGTGAACACACCGCCGCAGAATCCAGTAATGCCCAGATCACGTTCTCTATTTCCTGCGTGGGCCAGTTCACCTAATAGTCGCAGTTTTGCTGACGTCACTAGGGGCAAGTCCCCTAGCCCGCAAAGGGGAAACTAGATGCAGCGACCTCGGTGGGTAGGGTTGCCAATAATAGAATTCCCGAACAGCCCTAATTGCAGACAAATGACAACTCGAAGCCACCGATGTCGAGGAAGACGACAGCAAAGACTAATCCGACGAATGAGACAACTGCTGACGTAACCGGCGTTATCAGCGCTGACCTCGTCGTTTACATTGACGGCCACCAAGTGACTGCTCTTGTGGGCACTGGCTCCCACTTTTCTATAATAAGGCTACAGCTAGCCGAAAGATTAAGGAAGGTGAAGATGCCATGGCAGAGACCCAATTTAAGAACTGCAGGAGGTCAGTTGATGACACCGGCTGGAAAGTGCTTGGCCCGACTCTTCATCGCTGGTTCCACCTTTGTCGCCACCCTCGTTATTCTTCACGGGTGCTGTAAACAGCTCATATTTGGAAAGGATTTCTTGTGCGAATATGGGGCTGTGATTGACCTCCGCGACAGAAGCGTAACGTTCGCTATTAGCTCACACACTGCTACTGATGAGGAACACCAGCCACCTCGCTTCCGTAGCGCATAACGTCGCGGTATTTCACGTTGGGTTTCATGGGATATTCGAGAACCGAAGACCTCCACGAGAAATTATTAAGTACACTGACATGCTGCTGAAAAAAACTGTCTAGCTATCAATGGGTGGCCCCAACGTAAACCTGAAATATTTTAGAGGAATGCAGGGGGGGGATTGCCTGTGGGAAAATCATCAAGTTCGATGTTTGAACTTGGGCACCCGCGGTTTGTTCATAATGCTTACAGGGCAGGTGTTGCTGCTAGCTTAGAAAATCTGTCAGGCCTCAGTGCCATGTTTTATAATGAGGCAGGAGGTAGAGAAGATTTCACCAAGCCAAGCGACAACCCTCTGAACTTTGCTCCACATGGCTGGGTTGAGCATGTTGCTGTGA